GGAGGCGCTGTCAAGCATCTCAAAAGATGAATTTAGACAATGCTTTGAAAAATGGAATAAAAGACTAGACAAGTGTATTAGTGTAAGTGGAGAGTACTTTGAAGGGGATTGAAGGTTTGTGCTTAAAATTTGAATAATAAGTTAAAAAAAAATAAGTTCAGTTTCTTTTGGGTACCCCCTCATAGGTATTCATTACTAACATAAAGACCATTGAAATTTGAGCACATAATTGATAAAAATAAACTTCATCAAAAATACCCAGCCTTAAAACTTACAAATTCTGAAAAGACAGCTATGTTTGAACTAACATACTAAACAATGCATAATAACAAAGGTACAATAGATCACTGTGGTCGCAGTGCAAGAGCCAAGAAGGGCCACCGCTTATACATTCATACTTTCATGCAGAATAACAACATGCATTACGTGGTGCTACTATCTAGAGGATTTTCAGCGAAGAACGACACTGTACTACCAACTATAGCATATGTTCCACTGCTACCATCTTCTGTTTTCATTTGAAACTATTTACTACCATAAATACCAATAGAGAAACAAGCTAAACCCATGTATATATTAACACTTTGCGGACCCCGAACCCTTTAAAAAGTTTTTCGCTTTTAAACGTGGCGGACCGGTTGCATAATATTATGCTTTTAGGTTACGTTGTAACACACTATACCTTTCTCTGGTGCCACGCAACTGCAATGAATACTGCATAATAAATCTTCGGAATGTATGCTAGGTATTCAGTAACTTGACCTGGCTGGCTAGGGTCCCTACTACAAAAGGAAATAAACTTTGTCCTTTCCAGCTGTTTATGTACAAGGCAGGAAGTTACTAGAGGGGACAGCGGCCTCCATAGTCTAGGGGTAACGTTCCCACCTCGTGACTCAAGGTACGCGGGTTCAAACCCAGTGGAGGTCGTGGAATTTTTAAGGGCGGAAAAATTCAGCTTTACAGCACGTAAGAGAACCTCATGTCTCCAAAGGAGGCCGCTCTGCGAAATTAAGGACATTTCCCGCCCAACAGTAGTCTCTAACGCCTCTGGTAGATGGGGGAAGCATCAAAAGATACCGCTGAGCTAGCAG